TAAGCATCCTGGCCGAGTCAACCATTGTCGACTCCCACTTCAATACCGCCCTCACCACCAACGCTGGTCGTCGAAGAACGCCACCGAACGTACAGACCACCGCTCGCCATCATCGCTGGAGGTTCTGGCTCCGCCGCCTATTGCCGCACCTCTCCGTCGCAACTCCAAAAATCGTCGCCCATCATCACCGTGCAGATCGAGCGGAGACTATTCTCCTGCCAAAACACCAATTAATCAGACGAGGCAGCACCAAGCTCCGGAACCCGGTATCAAAATCATAAACCCTGCGCTTCATGTTTACAATATATTCATTTAAATAAAGTGGGAAGAAGATGGAAACCTCTTCAGGAATTGTTCAAAGATTTGGCCAGGAGAAATTGAAATGGAGAATGTCCTGGTCAATAAGGTTTTCTGGTTCGTCATCATGTGGCTATGTGGCTCTTCCGGAGATGAGATGAATATTCTGCCAGTAGCATACCCTCATAGCCATAATTGACCCGATGGATGAAAACGGACACTCGACGTTTAGTCCTCTACAGAAGAACGTGAACTCACGAGTTTTGAGGGTGAAGCTCTGAATAATCTTCGTTTTTCCCTTGATCAAGTGGGAGTCGGCCATACATGGAAAAGCAGTCGGCCAGGCGGTCAGGAAGTGATGGAAGCCTTCAAGAACATTTGGAATTAATCTAATCGGCGAAAAATGCACGATGTTCAGAAAAGGGAATTTGATATTTGAATACGGTGATTGCCATTCCAAAACGTATTTTTTGGAAGAGCATGCGTGTTATACGACAATTAAAGTCCAAGATTCTTGGAGTTTGAAACCTTTCACGAGAAGGTTTATGGAAATTTAAGGCATGAATTAAAGACTATGGAGATGTTTTCGCCAGTCCCCCTGGATAGACAGTACGCAAGTTTGGAAAATAAGTACAAAGATTATGGAAGGAAATCAGGAGGCCAGGGATTAACCCCTCTCGCCTTAACATGAGAATGTTTTTTCCTCATAAAGGTGTGATTTTAAAATTCTAGGGAAATACTAAGGAATATGAGACAGATTGAGGAGGTCCGCCCTTTTATTCCAAAGCTGACACCAAGAGCCTCATCGGGTAGGTCCGGGAGGTCCGCCCTTTTATTCAAAGCCGACTCCAAGAGTCTGACCGGGTATTATCCCTTATGGGAGTTTGGAGGATGGATTCTTCTGCACATGGGGCAAGCTTAATTTCCAGTCACATGTGCCGCACAACCCGAGGAAAACTTTTCCAAAATTTACTTGCTCATGGAATTTCTCATCTACCAGCGGCTATATAAAGGGAAGAAAAAGGAAAGCTACAACCGAGAGTCACTCGAGTTAGTAAAAGAACCAAGAGTCCAAGAAGTTTACTCAGAGAAGAAGAATCGTAGACAGGAGCCGCCTCGAGCAGGGACTCGGCGAGAGAAAAAAGAAAAGATAAGAAACGACGGGGCACTGACCCTAAACTGTTTCTGAGATAGAAAAAGCCTAATGGGTCGCCTCGACCGAGGGACTCGGCAAGCAAAGATAGGAAACAAGGGCACCGACCCTTAGACGTTTCCGAGAAAAAGCCTACAGGAGTCGCCTCGACTGAGGGACTCGGCGAGTATTGAGAGAAACGACGGGGCACTGACCCTAAACTGTTTCTGAGATAGAAAAAGCCTAATGGGTCGCCTCGACCGAGGGACTCGGCAATAAAAGATAGGAAACAAGGGCACCGACCCTTAGACGTTTCCGAGAAAAAGCCTACAGGAGTCGCCTCGACTGAGGGACTCGGCGAGAAAAGAGAAAAGAAACAGGGGTTCCGACCCTTAGACGTTTCTAGAAGAAAAGAGAAAAGAAACAAGGGTTCCGATCCTTAGACGTTTCTAGAGAAAAGAGAAAAGAAACAAGGGTTCCGACCCTTAGACGTTTCTAGAAGAAAAGAGAAAAGAAACAAGGGTTCCGATCCTTAGACGTTTCTAGAGAAAAGAGAAAAGAAACAAGGGTTCCGACCCTTAGACGTTTCTAGAAGAAAAGAGAAAAGAAACAAGGGTTCCGATCCTTAGACGTTTCTTAGAGGAAAGGAGGAAAGAAACCAGGGTTCCGACGCTAGACATTTCTTAGAAGGAAAAGAAGCTACCACCAAAGAGTCGCCTCGACTGAGGGACTCGGCGAATAAAGAAGGAATCAAGGGTCCGAACCCTTAGAAGTTTATTAGAGAAAGAAAAAGTTACAGCCAAGACGGCTAAAGAAAAAAGGGGCTCGAAGCCAGAGGGTCACATCCACTGAAGCAGTCGGTCATATGGCAAACCAAGAGAAGTCTTGAGGATGGAGTTGTTTGGAATCTTGAATAAAGAGTCGACAAAAATCAAGGCGGCTAATAAAGGGAATTTCGAGGCGAGACAATATACTTTTCCATGCCCTGCTGAGTGCGAGACATAGAAAAGTGAGGGACTAGTTGATGGGGTGTGAACCCCATGGGCTCGGGGCCCAAGAAGAAAAGAGATCAAGCCCAGAAGAAGAAGAGAAGCCCAAGAGGAAAATGGAGTAAGCCCAAAAGAGATACAGGCCAAGCCGAGGAGTCGGCGCGAGTGTGGGATTAGCACGGGTAGGGGGTCGGTCTAACTAGCCGTTATTCCTACATCATCACCCATGAAACCTATTTACTACCCTATTATTACCTAATCATTACCCTACTTACTAACTAGCCGTTAGACACTTTATCAACCAACTTAATGCCCATAACCCCCTAATTATCACCCATCAATACCCTACTAATGGTCCAACAAACACTTTTGGGGATGGGCTAGCTACAAAAAGGAGAAGAAGAGCACAAGGAGGGGGAGGCCACATATCACTCTTCTAAAAACACTCTCTCAAGGAAGACTCCAATCATTCATCCACACATAGGAGGACTCTCCCAAGCACTCTTCCTACACACTAGAAGACTCCACCACTCTCCCATGCATGAAGAAGACTCCATCTCAAATGTACAAAGTATAGTAGCTCTATCTCTACACAAAATCATATACACAAAATAGTCCTACAACATGTACAAAGACACCTACAAAAATATATAGTGGAGTTAGGCTTGGCACCGCCTAAAAAGGCCCGTGGTTTTCCTTTCGGTTTCCACGTACAAAAGCATCGAGTTATATTTTCTACTTATTTTCCTATAAGCCGCATGTGAAAGGTGTATCCTCCAGCTAAAGGTTGTGTTGGACCTCCTTGGGCCCGAAAACCCAAAAACCATCAGGTAGCACCAGTGTCTGGAATCCACATTTGAGACCCACCATTATCTGAATTGTTTGACGATGTTTTAGTTCCCAAACCATCCTGAAATACAAAATTAACCTGAGAATCCGGAGCCCCTGAATAACGTCAAAAACAATTGGTTCCCGTGTGACCGAAACTTTTACAAATTTGACACAGATCATCATAGCGCCAAAAACAATTGGCTCCCGTGTGACCAAAACCTTTACAAATTTGACAACGATCATCATAGCGCCAAAAACAATTGGCTCCCGTGTGACCAAAATCTTTACAAATTTGACACTGAACATTGAAACCATGTTCGCCACATTGATTACGCCAGTGTTGACCCATCTCTTCCGCCACTTGATGATTATCCACGTTGTGATGTTGCGACATAAGGTACGATTTGCAATTTAAATCATCCAAATCAAATTCAATTTCAAATTGAATTTGATTCCTTCGATGCACAGTACCTTTGAAGGTTTTTTTTTTTTTTTTTTTTTTTAAGAATAAAATCCTAGTTAACTGATACCAGATGAGAACTAATGGAATTGTATTAATCGAACTTAATTACAATGAGTTCAGGTAAAGGAAATATATACAGAAAAGAATCTCATAAGGAATAGAGTAGGATACCTAAATTGACTCAAATACATAAAGTCCTAATAGGGAGGATATTTGTAATACAGGTTTAGATCTCTATTTCCTTGGAGTTGGATTTCAGGTTAGGCGGGGCGGGTTATTCGGATTCCTTAGGTATTGCCCACCCCTATTCCAATTTTTTGAATGCCCACCCCTATTCCTAGAATCTCTCCTTAATATTACTTAATTAAATTAAAGGGCGCACAGGATGTTAAATAGTAAAAGCATTTTCATGGGTGAAAAAATAGTTTAGTTTTTTTCCAACTTAAGTGGTAAATAAAAGCCATGAAAAGTAGAGGGATGCATGCCTAGCATTACTCATTGTAAATATGTAAAAAAAAAAATAAATATGGAGGGATTTTTTTTTTTTTTCAAGTATGGTTTGTGTTAAGATTAAATATTTTAATAAGTTAGAGTTTTTCTTAAAAGGTGTGATTGTGTGAATAGAAAATGATTCTCATTCTAATAGTCACAAATTTGATTTTTGTCAACACTGAGCCAATGACGATCTTAATCACATCCCATGTATCAAATCATGATCACCTACCACCAAAAGACCTCATAGTGAAATAGCATAAACATGTAATTCTCAGTAAGATTTAAGGTTTAGTTCTCACTCCGATCCCCTCCATCAGATCAAGTGTGAATGAGGTGAAAGAGGGAACGGCAAGAAATAATGTCCTCAGACATGCATGCAATACGTACACTTAACATCATGGATTCTTCATATAATCAGATTCTGGGCTATGATTCAATTCCAATTCCATTATTCTGCATATCACCTCATCTGATGTAATAAGTTTTTTTGTCATCACATGCATGCGTTAATTAATTATATATATATATATATATATATATATATATATATATATATATATATATATATATATATATTTTATATCCAGATGGATGTGAAATGTCAAAACCTCGAAGAATTTTATAATATAATGAATTCAAACAAGGAACAAGAAATGTCAAAACCTCTTTTTTTTTTTTTTTTTTTGAAAGGGTCAAAACCTCTTATCAAAGAGAAAAGAAAAAATGAAAAGGGGGAGGCAAGGGAGAATGAATATGATGATCATGGCTACAGTGACATAAAAATCTGTACGTTTTAAAAATCTGCTTGACATTCTTCCGATAAATCTGTGCTCTTTGCCAATGAACCCACCTTGAAAACACACTTAATACTTATGTCTTTTTTCTTCCCCTTAGCCCAACTCGAAATCTCCATTGGCACACTGATCTTCAACGCCATCAATTTCTTCCTGCGACCGTTGAGCTCCTTGCGTAAATCGCCGGAAAGTTTCGCAACCATCTTCAAATCAACGTCCGTTGATTTCTTTGGTTTTACGGAAACCGATGGATATTTCCCCTTTCCGATGACACGGTTCTTGAAAACCAGCGAGGATTTACCTCCGTCTCCGAACGAAACCTTCATTCTCTGGTTGATGTTATGAACGTGCAACGAGATATGGAACGTGGGATGTCGTGCGGATTTCTTGTATTGGATTGCGGCGATGGAGAATTTTGGGGATTTAGGGGTGTACATAGCGTTGATAGATCCGACGATGGTGCCAATCAGGATCCCTAGGACTACGAGAGGGACGAGGAACCAAAAGCAACATTTGCGAAGCCGTGTATCCTTCTTATTAGTGGACCGCATCTCCTGGTAACCCTCGACGATTTTGGCATTTTCCGGCGGCGGGACGCGGTAAACTTGGTCGCGAGGGATTTGGACGACGTAGGTCTCGGGAGCCTCTCCCGGTTGGACGGGCAGCGAAAACGTCAAGGATGTTAACGCTGGGTCACCCTTCCGGCCATCGCCCCCGACCGGTGAGACCCGCCCGTCCATGGAAGAGCGGCGGTGTAAGACGGCAAAATATGGCTATCTATGTAGGCGGCAATGGCCGGCAGGTAGCAGCAGCTAGTGGTGAAATGCTACGAGTCTGTGCTTTGCATGGCCGGGGAAATGACAAGGCTTCATCAGCAAGCTATTTTTTGGTGATGTTTGAAGACAATTTTTAGAAATGGAGCCATCTTAATGTTTCATGTTGTGTTTTTGTTGTTTTCTGCCGCGTTGATACAAGGATTCGCGCTGCAATCTTTTGTGTCCACCCGCCCAGAAACAACAATAACAACAACTCCCATATACTTTTCGCCTCTCTCTGATCTGCCTTATTCTTGGAGTAAAATATGTTTACGGAAGTAATTACATCCGGTGGAATTGGATCTTTTGACTTGCTTTTTGTCCTTGGCCTGTCTATTTTATCGGAGGACCTCGTTTTATTACATTCAAACAAACTCGATCTCATTATCACTAATTTAATTAACATAATTTTTTTTTTGAAAATAATTAAACATAATTTAATTACTTTTTAAACTATAATTTACTTTTCCTTCTCAAAAAACTATTATTTACTTTTAAGTAGATACTAATTACTTTAATATTAATATTTTTCTTATAAAAGTGTCAAATTGTTCAGTAAACTTATTACTTGTGTGTAACTGGATAATTGAATTTAAAAAATATGCAATATAATCATCATCAAACAAGAAACATATGTGAAATTGAGACATTTTTTCAATTTTTTTCGGTTGAATTCGATGGTTGGTACTAAGAGTCATCCTTTCTTCTGAGATACTAGTTAGAAAGAAAGGTTGAAATGTTTAATTTGCAACTCAAATTGCATTTAAATTAAAGAAATTCAAAAATATCCCAATTGCACATATTTTACCTGTTTTATTGTTCGATTACACACTTTTTAAGTTTAATTATTCAGTTGCACTAAAGTGATAAGTTAAGTGGTCTATTTAACATTATTTCCTCTTTTTTTTTTCTTTGAGAATTCTTTTTAATTTGTTCGTAACATATACCTTATCCTTTATAAATTACTAGTTTTACAGGGGCATTGCGCGAATGAGATAATGCCCAATTATTTTTAAATAAGTACTTCAAAATATATTTGTAACACCCCGTGTTACGGCCTCTGTATCCGGATTAATTATTTAATTAATTATGTTACCATATAATTAAAAAGGATTTAATCAGACTAGAATCCCCATTAATTAATTAGTGTGGTCCCAAATTTTCGAGACTTTTAAAACTTATATAATAAAGGTAATTCCATTATAAATTCTCAAATAGAGCATAACTAAACATAAGTGTCGGGGTGCTATGCCACATCTGAGCTGGAGAACTCAGATGCACAAGCTAAACTATCCAAACAACAGAGATCCTTAAATCAATGTCTAGTACAACTTCAAGGCACGCAGGCCGATAAAAGAAATAATCTAGTTAGGTCCACGTGTCCGACTAGCGCGCTCCGGAGCTACTCATCTGTGCCTGAAAGCCAAATATATCTGTTCAGTGAATAATGCTGGTAACCCACTCCAACGCGTTAAGTACAATATAGGTAGATATATAAGGAAAATCATTTTGAAGTCGGAATACATATATATTTATGAAACTCTAATTTAAAACCGAGAGTAGACTCAAACAAGCAGGGGCAGACACATTCAATATAATTAATCACACACATAAAGATTCTAGCATGCACCCTAAGGTCACAAGACTATTCCATATCAATCATATCAATATTCAATTACTATTTCAGCCACAATCAACAATAAAACATGTTTACACATTTGGTGGTGCCGCAGGACCCTTCATGTGCCCATACACGAAGTGTCAGTGCATATAGCTCTGACATGGCCTCGCAGCACCCTACTTGTACCGCAGAACAAGGAGATTGATCGCAATCAATCGATGAACCGCAGCTCATTTATATCATAACGTTTGATCGCAACCAAACGGTGGGCTGCAGCCCTATTATCATGTATATCTGATCGCAACCACATTATGGACCACAGCCCTATATATATATATATATATATATATATATATATATATATATATATATATATATATATATATATATAACTAACAGTCGATGGTTCTCAACCCATCCAACTGCCTATATAGCCGACCGATCGCAACCGGTCGGGTTAACACCTGATGGTTCTCAACCCATCAGATGGTCATTATAGCCAACTGATTGCAGCCAATTGGGGTATCATGCACAATTAACACAGAAGCCAAGCAACATGCAACCCACATTAACACATAAGGAGGGGGAATCATCGGGCAACACTTATCCTAATATATACCTAACAAACCACATCAAACTACTCACGACACTCCTAAGGGATCATACACCTTCCTCCTAGGCCAACGGGATACCAATTCAAATAGCATGCAATACACAAGACTCTTTCATTCTAAGAATGGTACCCGATACATCAAACTAGACTCGCATACAACAAACGGGATACAATGGGAAACCACGGGACACGGGGAAACATCAAACGGGGAAAAACATCACGACTCGTACCGAAATTTCAGCGGGTGGCCGGCGGGTGGAGGGCTACCCGTCGGCGGCGAACCATAAGCCAGCGGGTGCCTGGCGGGCAGTCGCCTGCCCACCGGCTGCCCGTTGGGAAGAGGGCACGGGCAGCGGGTAGGTGGCGGGTGCCCCTGCGCCCACCAACCCCCCACTGACTCCTATGTAATATTCTGGTCCCGGGATCCCTTGTGGAACCCGAAACCATGTCCAGACACATTCAAACACAACGACGATACCACGTATTCAAGTAACGGATTTAACCCAAGAATCACACCAAATACATCCTAACACGACTCCTAAACATGCCAAGACTCAACACCCGAACATGCAAAATCCCACCCAAACATACCAAAGTCACATAATACGAAATTCACGTTTTATTAACCTAGGGCTCTAGCCATAATTAAAACACAAGATCGTTCATATAATTTATCATAGAATCAAGAATCATCAAGATTATCACATAAGTATCAAGATCAACACATAAACCTCAAGATCATCTCACAAACACAATATAAATCTCAGGCAAAGCTTTATCAAGACTCGAGCACAGAATCAGATATCAAGGAAGCCAATGAAAAAGATATAACAAGGAAAATAGGTTTTGTTGAGACATGGGTTACCTCTAACCTTAATTATAATCCTTGGCTACTAAGGTTCTTTCTCTAAGATCTCATCTTCGTGATTTCTCCTACATTTGGTGACAAGCGAATTCCTGGGGTTCTTGTGTGGTGGAACCTATTGTGGTGGGGTTTCTATGTGCCTCCTAGGTTCTTATATATATTTAAGAGTCCTAACGAAGGTTTGAATGGTAAGGATTCACTTATTCTATTCCTTATAGGACTAAGGGTTTGGTTTAAGGATAAGGGTCCATGATCCATGATGGACCTTTCTTAATTAATTAAGGGGATTTAAACCTCTTTTAATGGTAAGCAATTAAATAAATAGTCTGGGTTAGAGGCCGTAACACAGGGTGTTACACCCTCCCCCTTACAAGAGGCTTCGTCCCCGAAGCCTGTGCATGGATCCATTCTATTGCCCCTGGACGTCACGCATTCGGCCTCCTGGTTTAGGAAATGCGGCTCCACGTGTCATTTTCTGGGGGTAGAGTGGAGTTTGGTTAGGTTGGCGGCAAGTAGTGTTTGGAAAGTTTGGGTCTACCTTGGTTTCCTGCTCTTGAGCTGGACGCCTCGCGTGTGCCCAACATGGCCTCGATTGCAGCCACTCTCCAGTCTAATGAGTTTGTTGCGAGAATTAATGATGAGAACCCGTCATCCATAATCCAGTTCTGCTTGGTGAGCTGCGCGAGGATGTGCTCATTGGTGGACCTCTTATCTCGGCCCTCTATGTTTCTTCTTTCTTGTGCGGGTGCAGGCGGGTTAGGTTCGCTGTCTTCTTCCTATTCCTCTTGTTCTCCACATTCTTGCATTGCCCATCTCAGTTTCTTGTTAGAGATTTCCAACTGTTCAACCAGCATTCGTCGTTCTTCTGTGGGTTTCAGGCAAACCTCCTCGAGAGTGATGTATTGTCCCTCTCCGACATGGTAGATGTCATTGCGGCGGAGATTCTGGGCATTGAAAACCATCCCACTTACGGGCTTGGCTTCCGTGTGGCTTAGGTCCACCCCTTTTCTTTCCATGATCCAACTTAGGATCATCCCGTAGGGTAAGCTGAGCTGGTTGCAAGATTAACAAAATTCCATGTGTTTCAACATAAGGGCGGGCAAATTGAACTTGACTTTATGCTAAAGGAAATAGGCAAAGGTACATTCCAAGCTCCCCACGTCCTTGCTCTTGTTATTAGTGGGCAACAAGCTGTCAGACACATTCATGACTAGCAATTTCTGCTTGGCGGTTAGCCACTTCCTGTTTGGCCTGGTGGCCGAAGTGAAACCATCTTCTTTTCCTAGCAAATACCCGAGGTAATCCTTGTACCCTGTGCTTTGGGTTGTGCTTTGGGTACTGACCCATGCCCTCCGGTCATAGTCCGACACACCCGTGGTGGTCAGTTTCAGGAGTTTAGCCCAACGGCCCTCGGAGAGCACTATTTCCTTGCCCCAGACCTTGGAGGTAACTTCCAACTTGTCCCCCCGTTTGGTGGCTACCAAGTGACAATAGAACTCTTTTACCAATTCGGGATACGTATCTCCTTTAATTGCGAGATAGGTGTCCAAAAGGCCTTGGAATCTAAGCATATCGACCAACTCCGGAGAGAATTGGTCGGGTTCGAGGGCTTTACCTCCGATCACCGTGTTGTCGGCGTTGTTCCATTCCGGGACTCGGGTACCGACAGGCTTTTTCGGCATTGTAAGATTTTTCAAGAAGCGGTGGTGGTGCGGCCTTGACGTTCCGGCGAAGTTTTCCGGCCAGGGTTCCCGCGGTACTTCCGGCGAGACTGGCGGCGGCGTGGCTTTGTTCTTGCGGAGACCCGGGGTTGGCGGCGAGGGACC